CAACCAAAAAAAGAAAAGCTTGTTATGGCAGCCAAACCCTAACATTTTCTTTGCCACCAAAGGAACAAATCCTGATCTGTAATCCTAGCTAGTGAGAGTTGTAAGTATGGAATGTATAGTTGACCTGCAATCTACGCTTTAAAAAGAAGACTATTATGAGGAATGAAGATAGGTACACTGTGTTTAGCACTTGGAATAGTATATTTTACCATTTCAATTAATAGCTTAGACCAGTGATGGCGAACCTTTTAGAGACCGAGTGCCCAAAAACTGCCCCTGCCCCTCTCCATCCCCTGCCCCGCCCCCGCTCTGCCCCCCATCCCCTGCCCCGCCTGCCCACAGGACCACTCACTGCCTCCAGGGCCCGCCGCAGATCGCCCAGGCAGCCCAGCAGTGCTATGGCGGCCACACCCTCTGCCTGCGCCCTGCAGCATCAACTGCATGATGGGGTGAAGGCAGAGTCTTGTCTACGCTGCCTGGCTGCCATGTCCTTGGCTGCGCTGCTCCGTGTGGGCCACGCTCAAGGGCGACTCTCCTTCAGGGGGGCTGCTGGAGAGGACGGAGTCACGGGGGGAGGCAAGGCTGGGGCAACGGCACGTGTGCCCACAGAGAGGGCTCCGAGTGCCGCCTCTGGGTTAGACAAAAAGATGGAAAGAGTGCTTTATCAGTATAAGTGCTTTATCAGTATCCTGATAATTTCAGGTTGGAATAGTTAATATTCTGAATTGCATTTGCTTTGAGCATAATGTTTGCAAATAACAAAATAAGATTCAGTAAAATCATATCAGATAACAAAAAAAAAAGACCTGACACTGGCTAAGAGCAGGAAAGTTGAAGAAGGAGACAAAGGGACTAATTCTGGCTGCAGAAGACCAAGCCTTAAGAACAAATGCATATAAAACCAGAATTGAGGAGACAGCAACAGACAACAAATGTTGCCTCTGCAAAGAAGTGGGAGAAAAGGTGGCTACGTTTACTGTAGTTAGCTGCTGCAAGATTGCACAGGCTGATTAGAAACAAAGGCATGACAAAATAGCAACAGTGCATTGGAATGTCTGCAAGAAATAGTGCTTGTCTGCAAGCAAGAACTGATGAACTACAGAATAGACAAAGTAAGAGAAAAGAAGTTAAAATTCTCTGGAATTTTACAACTCAAACAGACAAGTGCCTGCCCTGTAACTCCTCAGACTTTATAATTGTCGATAAAAAAGACAAAAAAATCTGGATAGTGAACACTGCAGTACCTGGAAAGAGCAGAAGAGAAGAGAAAAGAACTTGAGAAAAATCACAAAATACAAGAGCTACAAAAAGAAGTAGAACAACTGTGGCAAAAGAAAGCAAAAAATAATTCAAATAGTAATAGGTTCCTTGGGTGCAATCCCAAAACATCTGCAGCACCCTTGAATACTATTGCAAAAGGCAGCTTTACTTGGAACAGCTTATATCCTGCGATGATACCACTAATATTATTAAAGAACAACATCTGACTACGCTAAGTTCTTGGTAAGAGCAGACAAAAATGCTGAATCCAGTTTAAACCTCTAGCTAACTATGCACCCAACCATAATAAATGAAACATGTTTGCCATCCAATTCTCACTGGCTCTGGATGGCTCACAATAGTCAAAGAAATTACAATAAAATGAAGATGCTATAATATTAATGCATAGACATACAATGAAGATAATTTTGGGAAAGATGGAAAGAAAAGGAGAAAAAGAGGAAAGAAAGAGAAGAGAACAACCAGAAGCAAGGAGGATGGTCATGATTATATTAGTGATGGGTGTGCATTTGGACGACTAGAAAGACCAAACTGGGAACAGACTGTCCTGGAGAAAATCTATCTATGTGGTAGTTGAGATTCAATACTGATTTGATGGCATATAATCCAGTAATCATTGCAAAGAAATATAACCATTCTTTTTTAGGGGGAAAAAAGTGAATGTACAAATTTAAGATCATGGATTTTATGGACTTTGGAATAATAAGAAAAGAATCATTCTGAACTTGGTTAGCTGTTTATATTAGCAAGGAGAGCAAAATGATATAACTTGTACGTTTAAAGATAGAATTTGCTAAAATATTGCCTTTCCACAATTCTGTGCCAACATAGCTATTGTCTGCTAGTAGAAATGCATACAGCAGCTGTTAAGGAGGAGTTATGCAGAAGTGAAGAGCAAAGTGGAGTGCGAGCAGCCGTTCAATCTTCTGTGTGTTCAGCGGAACAAGACTGACTTTCTGTATTCTTGATTTTATGTTGGGTATCGTCATGTGACATGCTAAATTGCATTATGCTTTACTTAGGGTGATGCCCTAGTTAAAAAATCAGAGTGTGACTAAAGCAGAATTAATCAACTCATCCCTTGCTCTAAGTGAAGTTACCTTATGATCTGGAATATAATTTGAATATGGACAGAGTCTTCTTTTGTCCCCTCGCTGCTTCTTTGCTTCCATTCTGTTTTTCCCATGGGGGTTGGGTAGGTTTTTTTTTTAATCCATTCTCTTTCCAGAGGTTCTGATGCCGCCAGACCATTGTTTTCACAAAAAAGAAGGGCATTGGGGAAGAAAAAAAAGAAATAACATTTAGCTAGTTAGTTCAAGTATAAATGGGACTCTTCCATGTTTAAAAGGGCTTGCAAAAAAGGCAAAAAATACAGTCATCATTTGTTGTATTGCCAATATGTATTTGCTTGGTAGGTCATTTTTGATTGCTAAGAGTGATTTACTGCATGTGTTAGTGGGTGTGTGTGTCTAAATATGACTAGATACTCTTGCTGTTCTTTATAAGCTGTTCTGGGATCCTTTCAGTTGAAGTTTAATTCAGAATTAGTAGATTAAATACTTTGAAAAAAAGCCATTTTATATATAATCACATATGTCTGCCTACGTTATGCTGCAAAGTGTGAAATATTTTAAGGAAGTCAGAAGAAAAAAAAATCTTTAAGTTATTAATGTGGTACAAAGTACTGTAGGTCAAATCGTAAAATTATTTATTATTTTGACCAAAGAAATCTGTGTAAGTATTATGGCAATGTCTTCCATTTTAAAATGGACAGATGGGCCTTTGTAAAGAAATTTTGTTTAGATGGTAGCAGTAGGGAGGCTTCACGTAATTTTCTGCCAGATGGGAGCAATTTTTTTTAACTCTTAGCAAAAGTACAGTTTAGGGGCAGCTAAAACAGGCTGTTGATTTACCCCTTGGTGTCTGATGGGTTCTACCCTGTCAAAAGGGATCAATTTAGAAGGTTTGTACTCAGCAGCTTCTGTTTTGACTTCTGCACTGTGTATCAGGGCTACTATTTTGTTTCTTCCCTAATTCCTTTTTTTTGAAGTCTGCATTTTCTGATGTTGAGGACAGTTCTTGATCACCTTTCAAAATGAGGTAACTTCCTCTAGGGCAGACATGTCAAACTCGCGATGTCATGTGACGTCGCACAATGTATTGGGCCGGTTTTCCCATTGCCGGCAATGGGGTGGGCGTGGCTTCAATGTGACACGTCCGGCCCGTGGGCCGGCAGTTTGACACCCCTGCTCTAGGGTCTAAGCTTCAGTGTTTTCTAATTTCTCAATTAACTTCAAATATATTAGCAGATTAATGTTAGGCTATGGTTCTCTTTGTGTCAAGAATATCCTTGAGGCATTGTCTGCTGACTTTTAGATCAATTATTAAAAATAATGTATCATACTCTGTTCTGGAATTATTTTTCTGTTGGTGTGTGTGTGTGTTTGTGTATAAATGTTCCAATTATTTCCATTAAAGGTTTTTTTTTTTTAAGTCTTAAACTATAGCTCAATTTTCCCCAGCCTGGTGTTCAAATGTTCCTACTACAGGATAATAATTGGGTAAACTTGATAAGCTTGATGGGAAATGTAATCCACCGTGTGGAGGAGGCTATATTTTGACCTTGTTGATCATACAATAATACTGCACATTATCCATGTCTTTGTATTTGAGTAATTTTTTCATGTTGACCATCTGTTGTCAGATAATGCCTTGAGTTTGTAATTACTTAGCTGTGGATGAAGAACATTAAAGGCCTATGCTCTTAGATGTTTAAAGAAAACTGATAGCATTAGGCAGCGATATACGATGCTTAAAAAACTCCTGCTACATGAATTTGCTATAACCAAATCTGGAGAATGTCCCAGTTTGTTCAGGAGACAGAAGAATCCGAAGTACTATCATTAATTATTGACACCATATATATTCCCAGAGTGGCAAAAAAGTAGTCCACTAGATGGAGCAGAAGTATAGTTGACAAATGGCTCAGTTGAGAAGAGACATTGAGATTATATGTCTTCTCTACTGAGATTAAAATAAAATATGCTAGAAAGTTTAGGTGGAATATTGCTTTCCCTTGTGTAATCAGGGTGGTGTAAAGTAGATATGTTTAATATTTGCTATTGTGGTGCTGCTAAGCTCTTCTTTAAAACAATAATTCATGATGTTCTGCTGAGCAAATGTGTTATAATTTGTTCTATTCTTTTTTACTTCCCCATGCTTAAAAACATTCATAGCCGGATAATGATATTTTGCTAATTTGTTAATTTGATTGTATTGTGGTGCTGTTTTAGGTTTCTCATTTTTATATGTTAAACAAATATGGTGGGGATCAAATGTAACTTTAGGGTTTTATAGCAGTGTAGTCCTGGGCAATATGGGCAAGTCCTTGTTTTTTCTCTATAATTCTTATTGCATTGTATAAGAATTTCATGAACACATTTTTTTTGTCAGTTTGGGCCTTCTTGGATTGTGTCAAGGATAATAAGGATGCTGCATATGTCCTGAGTCTGGACTGAGTTTGTGCACATTGCCCTGTGTCCAGTGTTTAAGAAAGATGTTCTTGAGAGTGGAAAAGCAAGAATATTTCCCCCCCCCTGAAAATAGATCAAAATATCTTTTGAATTGATAGCTTGGATTTGTAAAAACTAGGTTGAGGTAAACATCTTTTGTTTCTATTGTTGAAACTAGTAAAATGAATGAATTATTTTCTTTTTCAGTTAGCAGATTGGAGGAGAGGGAAGCAGAACTAAAGAAGGAATACAATGCTCTTCATTCAAGGCATACAGAGGTAGGTAACTACGTATTTCTTTGAACAGTGCCTCTATGACTTGTGCTTAAAGGTACCCAGTATATTAATCTGTTATCAACATTTTCTGAAAAAGCTCATAGGGTTTTGATTCTTTGCTTTTGAAAGCATTGGTGGCTCTTGGATATTGCTGATGTGTTAGGGTAGAATTAGATGGTATATTTACAACACATGGTTTGAGTTCAGACAGGTGGTTGTTGGCATAATTGAATATGGTAAAGGAGAACTTGTGGAAAAGATTGGTAGATTTGAGAAAGGTAGGTAGTTCCTTTACTGGCAACCGCTGATCAGTCGAGATAAGAAATTTATCTTTCCAAATCCTAAATTTATCTGCCTAAAAAGTAATGAGCAGTATGAAATCTGTTGAACTGGACTCCTTTCAGTTTTAACAACCATTATAGATAGGGATTATCCTCATCATCTTGTATGCTGTCTGACTCTCAACAAATTTGGATGATGGAAACGGTGATCCCATGAATTTCAGAAGCCCACCCACTAACAATCTTCTCAGATGTTTATATTTTATTGTCAAACTTTGCCTGATTTATGCCACTTAAACCCATATTTTCTTGTGGTAAAAATATTAGATATGCATGCTTTTTAAGGCAATGTCATTGAATGTAATCTGGCCAATGACCAACCAAAGTATAATCTGAATAAAAGGTTAGCAAAGTATAATCTGAATAAAAGGTTAGCAACATCTTTTTGATTACATAGTCCTAGGCTTATAACCATTTGTTTAGCAACTGTTTGAAAGTATGACAGTATGAAAAAAGTGATTTATGATTGCTCCTTGCACTTACGACTGTTGCAGTGTCCCCACATGATTAAAATTCAGGTTCTTGGCAATCAGTATGCAGTTATTGTAGTTGTACATGTGACTGCCATTCGCAACCTTCCCAGGGGGCTTCCAACAAGCAAAGTCAATGTGGGAACCCTTAACAACCATGTGATTCATTTAATGCCTGCAGCAAAAAGGTAGTAAAATCAGGTACAGTGACTGCCTCACTTAGAGATGGAGGCTCCGGTCCCAACTGTGATCTTAAGCCAAGGACTACATGTACCCAGATTATATTTGTCAAGTAGTGAATAAAGACTTGATGGTGCAAAAATTACTGTGATGATAATTGTGGCCAGTGCAATTTGTTTTTTCCCCTTTGATGTTTAGTTTATATATTAAGGTACCATTGTCAAACTGCAGAATAATTGAGATGGACACAGAAAAAGTAATATAAAGCATGCAAAGGTTATTAAGTTAAATATTGAATACCAAAATGGGTCAATTTAATATTTCTATACAACAATGGTGTTGTACATTGGTAAAAATGAGATAGAGAATGTCTTCAAAGGTTACAAACTAAAAAAAAAATGAAACTGGGAAAGTAATGGGAGAAATTCACATATGATATCAGTCATTGTTATCAAATGAAGAGTATCTTTGACCATCTGTGAATTAATAGCCAGGGGACAGTCACAGGGAACTGTACTGGCAATATAAACAGAGAATGAAATTTGTAAGATGCAATATTAATCCTTTCCTGTGCATTTGATTCCTGTGTTCTGCCTTCATAAAATCTTGAATAATAGGAAATGCTTCCATTTTTTTTCTCTGCAGTAGTCTGCATTTATAATCTAGAGTAGGGATGTCAAATTGGCAGCCTGCAGGCTGGATGTGTCATGTGCAGACTATGCCTGCCCCGGCTCCGCAAAGGCAAACAATGTCATGATATGTCACATGACGTGATCGAGTTTGACACCCATGGTCTAGAGTATGTCTGTTAAATTACCTCGGTGATGTCATATGCTCACTTAATGAATACCATTAATGTTCACCAACATCAAGTTATTTCTATTTTGCCTTAGAGACTTGGTGTGTTACCAATTAACTTCACCTATTATATATGTGTATTGTAAGTCTCGCTCAAGAATTTATTGTTAACCTCTGAATGTGTTTGGGTTCTGCTCATATCACAATCCCTCATTTATGAAAGAACTGTAGCTATGCCTAGTCAGTCAGATATTCTTCAATTTAGTTTAGGAAACATGTTATTTACTGAAAAATAACAACTGTATTCAGAAGGATTACAGAACCTTATCTGAAAGGAGCTGGTATTAGTAATCATATTAGTTCTTATAAAATGTCTAATTTTTCTTATAAGTGTAATAGCTCTGGCATGGGAAAGATCTGATTATAATGATAAAATGCTTCCCACTTTGTCTGTAAAGTAAGCATTTAATAAAGACCACCCACAGTATATGGTTTCATAAATTAGAAAATAGTCTGACTTGTCTGAGTGGAAATTTTCTGTAGAATATATTTATATGATATATTTATATATTTATTATATCACAATACTTGGGGATATATATACATATAAAGAAGAAATTAAAATTATATATGTATACATTAGTGCTGCTTAATGTGTTTCTTGCACAAACACCCGAAATATTTTAATTAATTAATTAAATCCATTACATTATTTGATAATACTGAAACAAACCACTGAATTGAAAACATGTTTCTCTTCAACGTATCAAATAGATTATGGGCCACACAGAAAGCATTGTAACATGTAGTTCTACAATACTAAGTGTTTTTAGTTAAGACTTGCTGATTTTCATCAGCAGACTGAGCAACTTAAATAGATGCATGAAATAAAAAGTTTTTCAGGCAGTGTGTCACTGTATACTAAAAGAGTCAATGTGTGAAGATTAAAGATAGTGATCCTTTAGGATTTATGCTATGACCTTTAGATATTCAGAAATTTTAATCCTAATATATAAGTTGCTTATCTGAGGCAGCTGGGTCTGCTTTTTTCCAATACAGTACTGTAATTTCTTGTGCCTCATCTTAGCTGAAGTGTTTTTGGTGCTTGGTAAACAGAAGTATTCTCAAACATATGAAAATCATTAAGTGTTGTAAAACATATTTAGGAAGAAATGGCAAAAGATTTCAATGTAACTTAATCAAAAGTACCTCTTAGAACACTCAGAAACTTTCTGTTTAATATGCTCTGATTGATGAAGCCACCTTGAGTGCCAATTTGGTAACAGAAACCATGAATCGAAAGTAAAGCAATGATTAAACCCAATCATTAACAAGAAATGTTAACAAGCAGCAATTAATGTCTCCCTCTGCCAAGAGAAACTCTCAAATCGTTCATGCATGTGCTTCTCTATGCCTATAAAGAGAGCCAGTATATTGTAAATGCAGGGGTCCCCAACCCCTGATCCGTGGACTGGTACCAGGCCGCAGCATACCAGTAACCGGTCCGCACAAACAAGCAAAGCCCCATCCATGGGATGCAGGCAGCACACAAACCCACGCAACTCTCCGGTCCACAGAAAAACATCTTCATGGAACCGGTTTCTGGTGCCCAAACGGTTGGGGACCTCTGCTGTAATGGATAAAGGCAGCAGGCTAGAATAGAAACCAGGAGATCATGAGTTCCAATTCTGCCTTTAGAAACAAAGCTAGCCGAGTTCTATTTCTAAAAACACTGCCAAGAAAACTATAAAGACAGTTCTTGGTCAATCAGGTAAAGAAATATATCAGAAATAATAAACACATTTTAATAACTCCATTTTAGTTGTAATGTTTTTGTTTTATGGTTATATAAGCAATGATATAAAAATGATGCCTGATTTTCATTCTTTTTTATTTTTTAAAAAGCAAATGATTATTATTCAGAGTATTTGTAAATCATATAGAAGTTTATATTATCCAGTTATGAAAATACAAAGATCACAGATTAGAAATAATGTTAGTTCTTTATGAATTAATTGTAGACAGTAGCAATTTCTCTTTGGATTATTTCACTTTCACATTATGAATGACAAAATAGCCTCTCATGCTATTTTGCTTAATCTGAAATGTTCATGAATATCCTTTTGATATATATCAAATGACCATAGTGCAGTATGAAATGATGGTAGGCTCAGCTATAGATAGTTACAATTCAAAAAGAGATATTTGTACCAATTATAATTTGCATTTATCTATAATTGGTTTATTACTTAATTGATTACTTAATGAAAATATTTCTATTTTAATGTTATAGTTATTGAAATAATGTTTAATAAGCCATCCATCTTTATGAAATCCTTAAACATGCACATGAGTCCTTTTTGTGCATCATCTGATCCTATTTTGATGCTGGAAATATGGGAAATATTTTTCTGCACATTTTAAAAATGTGATAAAAGACCTTTGCTTGAAGCTGTCTTACCAGGTACTTGGCTGACAGTATGACATAGCTTCCAACCGTTTGTGATGTAAATAAATCTGGCTGTCTAACCCTTGGTGAAATTCTTGATATATGTCTCATTTACTCAGATAAAAAAGTACCTCAATCGACTGTTGGCATATTAAAGAGCTTAAGAATACGTTTTTTAATTCTAGAGTCTATTTCCAATTAATTCTAATTCTACAATAGGAATCTTAACACATTTATATGAAATTGACCTAGAAGTAGTTTAATGTGACACAAAGAAATAGTAGAATCAGATGGATTCATATCAATGACTAATATACTAAGCTCTTTATGAATGGATTCTGCAACTGTCTTACTCTTTCCCCTTGTTTTTCTTTCTGTAAGATACAATGCAATAAAGCCTTAGTCAGCTGTAGTCTACAGAATAATTGAACCAAGAGTCTTCACCTAGTCCAGACCAAGAGACACCAACATCTCATTTTCAACAATGGAAAAACCAACAGGGTGTGAGAGCAATATCCTTCTGTCCCTCATTGTAGTATAAATGGCATGCTGATACAATATATTAAAAATTCATATCCTATCAGATACATTGTTTTGAGTATGTGCGCTCATTCAAAGCTCTTAGTTGCCAATCTTTTGAAAATATAATGTAATCTTAAAACAAGGCGGGGGTATTAAATGTGCTAAGTGAAGAACAGTGTCAACTTCTCTTGGCTCAGTTCAGATGTAATGAGAAGCCATTATGCTCCCCCATTCTTTCTCACGACAAAGGGAAGCATGTCTCCTGTGGGGTTTAAAAGTCATGTTACTTGTTTAATTATGGTTTCTGAAAAAGTTGGATCTGAAACATCTGTTTGTTAAGACTTGTTTTCAGTTCCCCAAATTTAATTGTTTACAGGTAATTCTTCTGTAGTTAAAAGAAGATGCGGAAACTTCTTATTTCCTCACAGAATCTTCCACAGCCCATTCACATAGGGAGGAATCATGGTTTCTCATTACATCAGAAGTGGGCACCAGTGTAACCTTCTCCAACCACCCATCCTTCCCCAAATGTACAGTATGTGAAGTTTTCTCAGTTTACTAAGGTATCTCTTCCACTTGATCACCGATGGGGCTTCTACTGGTTCTCTTGGTTTGCACTTGGGTGACAAAGTGTATATTTGTCTCATGTTGCTGAAATTGCATAATTTTATAAAAGTGTGGAGGTGGAAAAAAAAAGACCGCTTGTATTAATGTAAAGATAAATGAAAGTAAAGTTGTACATTGGAAGGGGAAAATAACTTTGGAACAAAACAACGTATTATGATGATAGTTTTTGATACATGGGATGTTTTATATTGTCTGAAATACCTAAAACATACATCTGATAGTAGTTTCTTGACAGTGGATTGAAAGGAAATAATTACAAAACAAATAGGTATGAAACAGTTTAAAATCTTTTATTCCCTCCTTTTTAACAACAGATGATTCACAATTACATGGAACACTTGGAAAGAGCAAAATTTCATCAGTTGACAGGAGGGGAACAGCCAGAGCCCATCATGCACAGTAGAATTAGGTAAGCTTCATTGAATTTTGTCTGAGTGAAACCCATTCAGTTTTGGTTTAAGGCTTTGTTTTTTTTAAAAAAACTTAAACAATGATTAGAGAGTCACAATTACATTTTTGCTGGATTATAAGAAAGACTGTAGAAATGTTTCAGGAGGAATGAACATTATTTTAATGGGAAAAATTGCCTGGTTAATCCTGATTTAGGTTTAAACATATTCTTATATAGATTTTATGTAGCAGGATTTTTCTTTCCCTTCTCCAACAGGGATGAAAAACAACAAAAGGATATGCAGTTAAGGGGTGTGAAATAATTGAATCTCATTTCCCCTTTTTATACCATTGTGCACATTTTCATGAAAGGAGATCTCCAACTAAAGCTTTGTCTACATTATGGAGATGCCTGAGCTTCCCATCCAATCAAGTGGAGCCAGGCTGCAAAGGATCAGCGTAGGGGGTGGTGGAGGAAACTGCCAACGAGCTTGCTTGTATCCTTAGGTTGCTTGCTGCATAGATGCTGAAGAAAAGAGAAGCCGCTCGGATTCCTTTTTCCTTTGTAGGTGGGGGAGGAGAGCGAGGTGATGTCATTTTGCTTTGGAGCTGCTGCAGAAGATAGTGGAAAGCTGCTGTCGATGGCATTGTTTCTGTGGCAGCAGCTCAGTGACAGACTTTTACTACAAAGATACTCCCTTGTCCCCTGCGTAGCCTCGGTTCTTGCATTTCACCATGCCAGCGCAGCGCCATGAGTCCTGGATGCATGCTGCTATTTGTGTTTGGCTTCGTTGGCGGGGCGGTGGTCATTAATTCAGCTATTTTAGTGTCTCTTTCCGTTTTGCTGCTTGTGCACTTTTCTATATCCACTGGTGTGCCAGCTCTGACGCAGAATTTACCAAGGATTCTCAGGTATTCTGACCCCGGAACCTTTGCTTTTTTAAAAAAAAAATATTCTTTGTTCTTAGCCTACCATGTTATTTCTCCTCTCTTGAATAGGAGTAGAAAGTGGGAAATGGTGGGGTGATGCTGATTTGAAGTGCCATTTTCAAATCTCAGTTTGATATTTTGTAGACTAGGTAAAATGTACAATTTATTATTGTAAAGATGGGACAAGGTTTTTTGATGTGCTTTGTTTGAGATTGCAAAATCAGTTGCTTCTTGAGAAAATCTTTTATGAAATTAGCAACTTCAAAAAGCTTTCTGTAACAGCTTTTCGTTTATTCAGTTGGTGTTTTGCTCCCAAGAATCATGTATAATCTGCCTGGGATTAATTCTTCCAACACAAATTATTCAAATTGCATAATTGCTTTCTATTTCTCTAAATAGATTGTTGCATGCATTTAGGAGTATTATAATGTGAAAAATAGGATATAAATGTATACTTTTTAAACCCGTATCTAGTAATATGTTTTTTCACCCCAGAGTACTGAGTTGCAGACTATTTATCTGGACTTATCAAACTACTTTTATAGCAACATTGTTCCATATTGCTGTTTGAAAACTTCTATTTTTAAAAAAAAACAAATATCTACATTGATTGCATGCATAACTGCATGCATATTAAGGTATAGCTAGCAAATCAAAATCAAATGTCACAGTCCAGTATCCACAATTTAATAAAAATTGTTTCTATCTGGAACCTTTCCCTAATGAAATGTTACCTTTACAATGCATATTTGGTGGAGTCCATTGACCCAGTTCTTTCCAATTTGAACTCTGCTGTTACATAAAAGTACAGGAAGCTGCATACATGGCTTTTACAGGAACGTTAATGTAAGTGGATCAATGTATTTTATCGAATTGCTTTGTCTCATAGGAACTTCTACAAACTCCTGTGGGGTATTAGGATTTTCATATTTCCCTGGAATATACCAAGGGAGAGAGAAGTCTTAACATAATCAGGAGATTCTGGTAATCCAGTCTAAGGAGATTTAATATTTAAAAGTAAAAGACCATAGAAAGTCTGAAGAATACGAAATGAAGGCATTTAATTTTATTACAGATGGATCTTTTTGCTTTGTCAAAAATGTTTCCAAAAAGCTGCTTAATATATAAACTTCTACAATGCTTTAAATGGTATCTATATCTATATAGATATATAAACTTTTGGATGCAAAATGAAGTTTATGCATTAACTGGGGTCTTAAATTGTAGGCGTGTATTTTGTAGAAGCCTGCAGAAGGCTGCAAGTATTCGTATTCATGTTTTCAGTAGCTAAGGGTCGCTTTTTATTTAGTTTTGCAAGCCAGTAAGGAATCTGACCAATTGTGAAGAATTGATTGTGAGTTTTCAGATGTGATATTCACACAATGAATAAAGGACCTGAATGTTCTTTCATTCATATTATAGCTGAACATATAAAGTAGATGGGTAGGACTTCCCCTCACCCCTTTACAGTGGAGCTAATATAAATGGAGCACAATGGTGGATTTAAGCACACATGTATAGAACTCATTCTGGTAGCATCTTTCCATGGCTTATATTGCATTTGCACTTACCCCATTCCTACTCATATTTGATGAATCAAATTAACTTTTTTTTAAAGTCATTTTTTTCCCCATTTCATGTTGTAAGCCACCCAGAGTAGCCCCATGGCCAGATGGGTGGCAAATAAATTTAACAAAAAAATAATAAATTTGAAATTAAACAGACCCCATTAGTGGTCGCTTCCTTACTTGTTTCTCGGCAGAATGTAAAATATTCAGAGTTGGCCAATAGAAATGATAAGTGAAAATATATTTTTTAAAAATACTTGGTACCATTACACTAGAATATAGAAGCATCTTCATATATCCTGTTAAAAACAGATTACTTACAAGATCAGTCTTATAAAAGAGTGGTCACATCCTTTCCATTGACAAGACATATTTCAAGATCAAGTGGAAACTTTGAAGCTAGAGGAGAATGCTAAATGAAGCAGTGGAATTCAAAAGAGTCCAAGTGAGAAGATTGAATTAGAGCTGTGCAAAGCATTCAAAGACACGCTGAACAAAGTATATTTGTACAAGTGAAGTTCTCCTTGAAGAATTGTGGCTTAGGTTGTTTTTTGTGCATTTTCTGCATTCAGCGGCTTTGTTTAGATGACAGACTGAGCAGGATGGAAAACCCGGGAAAGTGCTCAAAATTGCTAGATTGGCCTTCAGACGATGCAGCTGCCTTGGGTTTGGGAAGTGTTTTGTTCACACTGAGATGCTACATGAAGTGTGTTTTTCATTGTTCTAGTATTAAACCTTGTAAAATGACTTAATAGATATAAATGCCTCATGTTATCGTTTGTTACAATGTGTGAATGTTATTCAGTAAAGATGATTTAAACATGCCATGGCTTTGCGTAATGTGTATAGATACCTGAAATATCTTTTCACACACTTTTCACATGATACATAATAGAGCTTAATTACAGACTGGGAATCTGCCTATATTAAAGTTATATGGAAGACCTGGATAGCTCATGTAGTAGCCACGCCATGTGCGTTGTTGCTGATGGTGAACTGTGTATGTGTGTGTATTCAAATAGATTTTAGTAATTGTTGTATGATGCCTGATAAGCAATTACAGTCGGGTATTTAATAATATACAAACTCAAATAAATCAGTGCATTCTCTTGGCTTTTATTGTGAAATGAGTGGTTTCAGAGATAGGTACTATTAGAAAATACTGTACAGAAATCAGATGGAAAATAGACGATTGCATGTATGAATATTTTTGTTTCATGGGCTGTTTTTATCAAATGCATTTAATCAAATGCAGTGAAGTTGTGTTTTGACGAATAAGAGAGATACTAGATATATTAAGATTCTGCTATACTTTGTATTCAGAAAGGTGTTTTGGAATGTGCATCAGCATAGAAATAGCATTTTCTGCAGTTTTTTAAAGCAACTGAGTTTTCCTGGGATTGTACAACTTCCTTCTGAAACTATCGCCTGGTATCATGTGAAGATGCAGTTACTTTAAAGAGTTCTAAGCAAGGGATACATTTATGCCCCCGAGTGCTCCCAAACAATTTTTGGAATTGAATTGGAACTCCTGTATAGCCATAATATGTGTGTGATTTGCCAACATTTAACTGAATTATGTTGTTTTAATCAGGTCTGGATGGCACACACACAAAAAAGAAGTCTGGATGCCATACATTTTTTAAGCATTATATTTAATATAGTTCTGATGCTTGTGTATCTATTTGTATTTGCATTATTTGTACATTCATAACATGTCTACAAAAAGGAAAATAGCACAGGCAATAATTTGAATTCTGTTCAGGACAGAAGTGGAAATTCTTCCAGTTCCTTCAGATTTTTATACCCTTTGCTACTAATCTGAGGTCTTTTAAATTGATAAAACATTCATTCTTAAAGCAAAGCATAATTTTATCTGATTTCTGAGTTTAATGTAAGTAAAATTTAGAGTCACCCACAAACATTTACTCTTCCAATCAAAAGCTTATTATGATTCCTCACAGTGTTTAAAAAAGGACTAATATTAAAAACAAAATATTAAAAAAATGAAGACAATACACGTACTCCTTGAGTTCCAACTCTTTGTTCAGTGACTGTTTGAAGGTATGATGACCCTAAACAAAGGGGCTTATGACCAATTCTCAAAGTTCCAGTCATTGCAGCATCCCACAGTTGGGTGATGGCTGTTGTCAGCCTTCTCTGCTGGTTTCCCACGGGCAGAATCAATGGGGAAGCCAGCAGGGAAAGTCACAAATCACCCCTCCCAACATTTCTTTGCTTGCCTGCACTGCACCCCCCACCTTCTCTCTTGCTTGCTTGCACCCACCAGCCCCCTCTTTCCCAGCCTGCCTGTGCTCTCTCTCACGCAAGCTTGCGGCACCCCTACACTGCTTATCTGGGACTCTTTCCACTTAATGACCTGCAGATCTTGGGGTTATGACAGATTGCCTTTACCAAACAATTTGGTCACCTGATGTTGCACTTTATGACCACATCAATTAGCGAAGGCATAAATCACGAGCAATGAACAAGATCAGAGTGAGCAGTAGCAACAGACCAATGAGCGGAATGACTTCCCAGACTTTGCTCAATGAACTCCAGTGAAACCCCTTAGGTGAGGCATACTTTAAAAGAGGATCACCGTAAGCAAGGACCTCCTTTTGTTTACATATAGAAGTTCTAAGTTATATGAATATTGTCCATGTCGTTATTATGAGTTATTCAAGAAATTCATATGGCTCTATAATGATTGCCATTTTTGTTCCTGCATGAGCACCTTCTTTATTTGTTTCAGGACAATGTTAACATTTTTAGATAGGTATATGATAGAGACCACGCTTACTACAGCTTTTGTAATTGCCTATTTTGCATACTATGCTGAGAACTGCTGCTACTTTGTTAGAAATTGTTTTCAGATTGGTGTATAATGTGCTGGTGACTAGTCAGAAAAAAACAATAGCATGGCTTGTTTTTAGCGTATTTTTCAGTTTGGTGGTGAGTGGAAATCAATGGCAGAACAGAATTATATACAAGCCTCCATTGGATGCTGTCAAGCTAATCAGGGCACTGAGAGGAAGCCAGCACATATGATCTGATGTACACTTGGCACATAACCCGTAGTGAAGATGTTGGCTGATTGTAGTTTATAGTTCCTCATTTACTCTTTTTATTTAACTGCCTGACCTGGTATTTTACACTGTGTTGATTTGTTGAACCAAAGAGATTTTTTTCTGTTCCGTCTTCTATTGCTTGTGGCATAAACGATTCATTGCTGATATGTAACTATCTTTTCCTCCTGCACTACGCCTGGCCACATGTCAGCCCATCTTGCTTTTTCATTTTAGCCATGTGCAAATGGTATTTCATTAGGATAACCAAATACTGCAGGGGGAGGAGTTATTATCTTTGGGGCAAAACCCTGTAGTATGACCTAGTCCTAGACCTTGCAGTAATAGCAATGGAGATGGCTGCCTGCAGCTATAGATGTCCTACCCAGGAACACTAGTCTAAAATGCTGTAAAAACCTCACGGTAGTTAAAGCAGTGTTTCTTGATTTTGTTCCACTTGGAGCCATCTTTTCTGTGGGAAAGTTGGCTGGTGATACAGTGTGAATGAAAGCTTTATAGAGTACAGAGCAAGTCTGGTGAATGGATGTGTAGGACCAGCATACTAATCAATTGAATAGTCAAATGATTGTGCTGGTTTGACTGTAGTCAATATTTGTTAAACATTCTCTGAAATCGTGAATGTGTTTGTGTGGCAGCCAAGGTTTTAAATTAATTATTATTCCATATGGAAACAAGGATCCTTTTATTCTCTAGTCCCAAATGATACTTAATAAGTTGGCAGTTTCTCCAAAGGAAAGATAACCTGTATTATCTTTAACAAGCTCTAATTCCCATTCAAAACATTAATTTAAATAGGCAGGAATACCTTGAATTAAAATCAGGTTCCTCTGATGTTACTTTACAAACTAAGAAACCTGATTTGTAAACCATTTAAATTTACAATTAGAATATTATTTTTGTTGTTGTAACTAGCCCTTACATCTCTTGGCCTAACTGTTTGTGTGGCTTCTTTTCCCAGAAAGTATCTTTACAATATTGCAGGGTAATATGTTTTTTCAAGCATTTAATATGAGGTTAAGGATGGGAATTTAGAAACTTTTGTATAGTATAAATTTATTTTTCTCTTTATTTCAGTGTTGAAAAGTCCTATATCATTCAGCTTTGGCCTAGCTTTATTAAAAACATCAAGAAAAAATATAAATATATGCATAAATAAATATTATTTATCTGATAAATATTAAGCATTCTACTTTAATTTTCGTCAGGTGAAAATCAAATATCCATATTTAAGAGATGAAATGCAGTGATCTTCCTTTAGGCAGAAAAATCTCCTTTGATTGAATATTTTGGGAAAGTATTGGTTTAAAAGCAAAGTGAAATGAACTGCATACTTACATGCAGTTTATTCCATGATATATTTCCTTTATTCAATTTGGGGGGAAGTTTAGCTTTTCTGGAAGTTTTTAGTCTGTGTTTCCTTAACAAAAGCTGTTTGAAATCACAGTTACTTGATAATTAGTTTTAAATTCTAACCCTTTACCATTGGTTGCCTTTTTCCAAACTTGATGCCTATTTCATTTGTTTCTGTACATTTGTAATATATAGTTGCTATGATGCTTTCCTGCTCAGAAATGTATGCATAATCTTAAGATAAACCAAGATTTTCTAATGAGATGTTGATATTAGCTTTATTTCAGGAAAGTATGTTTGTAACATGGCCTTAAATGAATTAATATGTACATTGTCTACTGCAGACATATCAAACTCGCGACGTCACGTGACGTCGCACAACGTATCGGGACAGTTTTGCCATTGCCGGCAATGGGGTGGGCGCGGCTTCCGCGTGACACATCTGGCCCGCGGGCTGGCAGTTTGACACCCCTGGTCTACTGCCTACATGTAAAGCAGCGTGAGAGAGTATTTATCGTGAATCGGTTTAAAATGGTAAACATGATTTTAACATTTTAAGTTTCAAAAATCGAGAATGTGTAAGAAATAATAACATATGATATTGTCCCCTTTATCTACAGAAAGGAGCCTCCTATATCATTGGGCATCTTTCCGCTCCCTCCAGGAGATGCACTTCTTACTCCTGATACTCAGAGAGGATCAGTGGAAACTCCTGGATCAGATAGTTGGAAGTTCCGTGAACTAAGTCAGCCTCGTTCCCGCACCAGCCTCAAGGTAAAGGAGCTGTTTTAATTTTCACAGCGAAAAAAATTATTAATTTGTTCCTCAGGATGTATGTGTATGAATAAAAGCTAAACTTCCAATTGTCTTTTCGTAGTGCACAAATTTTTGAAACTCATTCCAGGTGAGTTAAAGGTAAGTTCCTTTTTCTTCTAATGTATGGTTTACTGAAAAGCTGATATCTGCACTTGGAAATATGGGAAGACAACATTTTCAAATTATTTTAGACATACTGTTTTCCAAGCTTGCAGTTGGGTAGAATCCTTTGTAAGGCTCACTCTGTTTATCTTTAAGAATTATTAATATTTATATTTACTGTTTTCAGATTTTGATTACAAGCATGGTTGTGGTTTTGTTTTTAAAGATCTATGGGAAGACTTGTGTTGAAAAAAAAAGCATGAGGACAAAGCAGTAAACCAAGTGTATATTTTTTTATCCAAAAGAAAGCTTGTTTGAACAACTCATTATAGCAATAATTGTATTGAAACGATTAATTTTATGCTGGCTAAAAGTATAAATGTTGTTGCAATCAATGAAATGTCTTGTAGAGTGTTACTCCTTAAATCAGTAATGCCATGGCACTCACTGTATTTTCTAGTGGGACTTACTGATCCCCTTTCTTCTAAACTGTATGGTATCCACCTAGCAAGCATTTATTATAATATAGCCCTGAATAAAGCCATAATATGAATCCATTCACATGAATTGGTCATTAAGTACATATATTTTTTCACTTCAGAATTATAACCCTAAAGCTTCAACTTTAACTTTAATACATTGTTTGGTGCACGTTGGGTTTTGGGTTAATGAAGCTAATGAAAAAGTAGTGTTAACTCTTTACATATTTAAATGTATTGCTATGTGGATTACACGCACTTTAGATTGTCTGGTGGAGGATAATCTTTTGCACTTTTTCTGGACACTTTGGTGAAGGATAATCTTTTGTACTTTGTCTGGACATATCTGAAATATTTAAATTCATTGATATTCTAAATACTGCAAAGTAAACTGAGAAAATTCCCCAACACAATACATAATCTTCATAGTAAAAGCCTATGACAAATTATCAAAATCTATCAACATAAGCATATTGTTGAATTATATATAATATATATATATATATATATCTTTCATCTAGAATTTCATTTTATACTTTTTAGTATAGTTGTTACTTCTGTTTTTTTCATACACTTAATTTGATTTATTACATTTGTTATGGCTGCCAACTCCAGATGACTCTGGGCAGCTTCTGAACAGCTACCATATGAGGTAGTTTAGAATGAAAAAGTGTAACTGCTCACAGGTCACTTGAAACTTCATGGATGAATGAGGTTTAAATTCTGCTTTCCACTCCTTTAGTTTAGCATTGTAATAACTGCTTAATTTTGCCTGTACATACGGAATAGTAATCCCTTCTTTCTTGTGAGACTGAAAATTGCATTAAGGAGAAGTGCATAGACAATATAATATCTTGAATACTTAAGGTCTTAGAGCAATATAATCGTATTTTTCTTAATAGTATTTATCAGCTTTGACCGAAGCATTAATTTAAATTTGTCCAGATAGCCTGATACTTTAAGAGCAGCAGCAGCAGAACAGCAGTTGCAGTTTTTAAAATGAATGGTAACTTTGCAATTAGAATAGTCTAAACTTTCTTGTAACCTTTCAAACAAAGGTCTGCAAGTTCTGTTTCTGTTGGTAACCAGGCTGTTTATTGGGAGTTTTTTGACTGCTAAGGTCAGTAATTTGAGTGCTTGCATTCTTTTCATGATGTGGCTAGAATACAGAAGCTGGGAAATGTTTAGACAAAGTGAAATTTTATTTCACTCTGGATTTATTGAATAAAACTACAGTTTTTTTTCTTTTAATAAGTCAGGGTATTTTTGCTGGATTTTCGGGGGAGGGGTTAGTGGATTTGGGAATGTCACTCTTAACAGCAAAGTTAAAACTATTTCTGGAAGTGTTTGCTAGAGCAGAAGATAATCCTAGAATATCTTGCCCAAGTAGGCAGAGCATAATGGACAAACAGCTACGTAGGAAAAAAATTCTCCTTTATGAGATTGCGTAATGGTAAAGATTAGAACTATGTCAGTAGAAAGATAAATTGAATTTGATAGCTTGCAATAATGAACCTAAATAGGGTGGGATACAACCCTCTTGTATAGGTTGATACAAATGAAAATACTGCAGTACAGGTAATCCCCGAGTTGCGAGCATTCACTTAATGCTTGTTCAAAGTTACATGATGAGAGCCCCCTAGTGCTTATGAGCAAGTCCCGAAGTTACAAATATTGCAGCACCATGGCAGTCGTTCGCCTTTACGAGTGACCGCAGTGGCTCTGCAACATTCACCCTGGTTATTCCTTCCCTCTCCACCCCCACCCCGGGTCTCCCTAGGCACTAGGCCTTCAATACTCACTCTACGAAGATCGAAATCCTTCACTTTCTTGGCTGTACTAGGCCTTCAGTGCGTTCGCAGAGAATGGAGGCCTAAAGTAACGCAAGATCATGCAAGATTAGTGGGGCGAGATCTCATGCTACTGATCTCGCATGATCTAATGGTACTTTAGGTCCCTGTTCTCTACAACAGAGAACAGAACCGAAGCCGGGGGACGCTTCCCCTGCCTCAGATCCGGGCAGCAGTGGTCTGGAAAAGGCCTTGGGAGCCCGGATCGGGCTGCGGGGAGAGTGCGGAAGCGTCCTCTGGCCTCAGATCTGGGTGGCAGCAGGAACTGCGGCAGAGAGGAGATGGATCTTTTCCAGGTGAGTCCGGTGCGGCAGGAAGGGAGGGGGAAGCATGCGGTATCCTTAGTGGGTTGGGGAGGCCTTGGGGGCCTGTTCCATCACTAGGCCCTCCATGGCCTTCCCTACCCTGAGATACCTCATGTTCGCTTAACGAGCCGCATGTGTTTTAACAAGCAAGGGAGTAATCTCAAGGTACGAGATTCACTCTACGAATTTTCGAGTTACGAGTTACGAGGTCGCCGAAAGCCTCAATCAGCTGGAACCGCGCGTGCCGATCCTTGGACTTCAGCAGAGTCCCGGCAACACTGTAGCTTCAGCTGACTCTCTCCCAGGCCTCACTGGTGCTGCTGCTGCTTCAGCTTACCCCCCCACTGCTACATACTCAGTCACCTCCTCCTACTAGTCTGCTTGCGGGCCAGGTCTAAACACATCACAGGCCGGATTTGGCCTGCGGGCCTCGAGTGTGACATGTCTGGAATAAACGTTATTGACTGATACTACTATTCCTGTTACAGATAGTCCTCAGTTAACGTCAGCAATTGGGATCAGAATTGCCATTGTTAGGTGATGCAGTTGTAAAGCATTATATCACATGACTATGCTTCTTAACCACTGCAATTCTAGCAGTCCCAGTTTTGTTAAGTGAGGAGCTTTCTTCACTGCAACTTCTGACTTCCCACTGGCTTCCCTATTGACCTTGTTTCTGACAGTTGGAACTCCAAGGAGCTGTCATAATTACCATTCAGCACGGTCATAAGTTTGAAGACTTGCTGAAGGAATGGTTATTAAACAAGGACCACCTGCACCTTTCTTGTCTCTTTCCTTGAGGAGAAATACAATTTTTAGAAGGATATAGAAGTAGGATGTTTGAAAGGATGTAAATGAGTATTTCATTCAGACCGTTCCAATCTGATACTTGTGACCTGTCCTTTAAGGATAAGGAGCTAAAATAAAATAGTTTGTTTCAACCATTTACCTAATGCAGGTAAATCATTTGAGAAAGATACTTGGCCTAGGGCCAGGTTACTTGAGGGACTACCTATCTTGAACAGTATCTGCCCAGCCTATTTAATATGGCAGATATGGCACTCTCCAGATTCCTTCAGTGAAACTATGCTATCTATCAGGACCCCAGAAGTCTGCCTTCTCTATCATAGCACCTGCCCTATTGAATGAGCTCACCCCCGCTCAGATCTGAATGGTCTTGCTCTGCTGGTATTTCAAAAGAGCCTGAATATCTGGCTGTTCATCCAGGCCCTTGGTGAGGATGAATGACATCTTTTTTTGACCTAGGTTTTGTTTCCACCTGGTTTGTTATTCTGCCATCTCTATTCTTTTTTATTTCTTGTTTTTCTTGTCTTATTTTCATCCTTTAAATCAGAGGTCCCCAACCTTGGCAACTTTAAGACTTGTGAACTTCAACTCCCAGAATTCCTCAGCCAGCCAAGCTGGCTGAGGAATTCTGGGAGTTGAAGTCCACAAGTCTTAAAGTTACCAAGGTTGGAGACCCCTGCTTTAAATAGCTTTGTGAACTGCACAGTCCCTGGGAATCAAGCAGCATATAAATTTAAAGAATGATAATTCAGGACGCAGTACCTTTTTTTCAAAATTTGAATGTGAGTTATAAGGGACAATTTACTTCTCTAGCTTTAAAGCAGTGATCCCCAACCTTTGCAGCTTGGTGGCCCGACTGGGGAGGGGAGGGGGGAATGGGCCCATGCAATTGGTGGGCTGGCATGTGCGCACATGCACATAGTCCTTGTGCAAGCGGCAAGCCAGCGTGCACATGCACAGCTCAGGTTGTGCAAGCAGCAGGCCAGTGTGCACACGCAATTGCCCACTGGCCCGCCACTCACAGAAGTTGAGCTGCGCAGGCATGTGTGTCCGGCTATGGAATAGGCCACGGCCTGGTAGTGGGCCATGATCCAGGGGTTGGGGACGCCTGTTTTAAATTTGCGGATGACACCAAGCTGGCAGGAATAGCCAACACTCCAGAAGACAGGCTTAAGATACAGGAGGGCCTGGACAGACTTGAACACTGGGCGCTATCTAACAAAATGAAATTCAATGGTGAAAAAAGTAACGTTCTACATTTAGGCAAGAAAAACCAAATGTACAGGTATAGTATAGGGAGTACCTTGCTGAATAGTAGTAACTGAGAGGAATCTCAGAGTCCTAGTGGACAATCACTTAAATATGAGCCAGCAGTGTGCTGCAGTTGCCAAAAAAGCCAACTCAGTGCTGGGCTGCATTAACAGAGGGATAGAATCAAGATCATGTGAAGTATTAATAACACTTTACAATGCCTTGGTAAGGCCACAGTTGGAATACTGCATCCAGTTTTGGTCACCACGATGTAAAAAAGATGCTGACTCTAGAAAGAATACAGAGAAGAGCAGCAAAGATGATTAGGGGACTGGAAGCTAAAATATATGAGGAACGGTTGCTGGAATTGGGTATGTCTAGTTTAACGAAGAGAAGGACGAGGGGGGACATGATAGCATGCCATAAAGAAAAGGGAGTCAAGCTATTCTCCAAAGCACCTGAGGGCAGGACAAGGAGCAACGGATGGAAACTAATCAAGGAGAGAAGCAACCTAGAACTAAGGAGAAACTTCCTGACAGTTAGAACAATTAACCAGTGGAACAACCTGCCTCCAGAAGCGGTGAATGCTCCAACACTGGAAGTTTTAAATAAGAGGCTGGACAGCCATTTGTCCGAAATGGTATAGGGTTTCCTGCCTGAACAGGGGGTTGGACTCGATGACCTCCAAGATCCCTTCCAAGATGTATATATCAGGGATGATCTGGATCTACTGGTAGTTCTGTGAGTGTTGGGGTAGATTACCTGCCAGATATTCTTGACTTTGACAGTTGTAAAATTGAGGTTGGATTTTTGCTAAATTCTGGTTATTGATTACAAATTCCCAGCCTGAGACGTGTGTTCAGAGGTGCTTGTACCTGAATTCTTAGCCATTTAGGTACATTTTCATTCTGAAATATAAAAGGAAATTATAAATATCACTTAGCTGTGAATACAAATTGCTAGTGTCAGTTAAAATGGACAAACAAAATGTGCTCAGGCGGCTTATAAAAAGTTTAATTTGTTTAATATTCATTGTGCCAAGAGGAAGAATGAGGCTTGGAATATATTGTTAATTAAAACACAAAAGTTTTATTTATTCATTCATTGATTTTATATGACTACCCATTTGTAGCTGGTGGTGTCTTGTTTTTATAGTCTGAATGTATGACATGTAAATTAAATGACGCAGTATTAAAGTAGCATAAGGCAATATATAAAGTGTTTAAATTATTTAAACACTTATGCACTGATTAAATCTGCACATTTCAAAATTATGTATACATTAATCTAGTACTTATTAGTCTAATGATGTTAACAACAGCAAAAGAGAGGAGAAATTTCATGGGCATATATTTCTTGTGCATTTCCTTTGGCAAACTGGTACAATAGAAACTGTGATGGCACGATGGTAAGAATGTAGCATTGCAGGTTAACTCTGCCCACCGCCAGGAGTTTAATCCGCACCGGCTCAAGGTTCACTCAGCCTTCCATCCTTCTAAGGTTGATAAAATGAGGTCACAGATTGTTGGGGGCAAACTGCTGCTATTGCTAATAAAATATTGTTTCAATTTTTTTAAAAAAGCCATGATTTCCACCTCCCTTCTCGCTTTTGTAATATATTTTAGCAATGCCAGTCACTGAACGGCTGAATACAATTTTTAGGAACAAAGGGGTGTATAGCTAATGAGGAGTTGAACTCCTTGGCAATAGGATAGAGGCCTCCTGAAGGAAAGCATTGTTGAAGAGGATGAAGCTTTGTAAGTGACATAGGTTAACTTTAGGTGGGTTAATGGAATGATAAGTGGGAGTGATCTTGAGAGACAGGAAGAAGAGCTGCAGACATGGCAACTATCATGTAAAAAAAAAAAGCTTAGTCCACAGAAGGAGTGGGGCTAGGAAGCATTTTAGAAGGGATCTTTCCTAGTTTTCCAGAGAGTAAAAAGGAGGATAAATCTTGCAAGATTATGTTATTGTAAGCATACAATAAAGATAGTGTTGGTACTCATAGTTGTGCTTCTTGTCTGGACTACCTCAAAGGGCTTAAAAAAGACTTAAGTGCTTAAGCCTACGGTCTACTACTACTATGGTGGTATTGAAATATTATTGAACATGAGAAAAGTGTATTTTGTATCACTGAGATTGGTACCTTGAATATAAGTGAAATTGCATTTGCAAAAAGAAATATGCATCTTTTAGCTAGAAAACACAGTAAATTATCTGGCCTCAACTAGTTAAGTATTAATCTCGGATTAGGGGATATGCCACATAAATGTGTAATTACTTCAAACTTATTTATGCTTTAGGATGAAATTTCTGATGTTAGCCAAGCAGGGTCCAAATCTACTACACCAATCTTAACTGCTGCTTCAGATGTGCTTAAGTCTGCTGAGTCTCCCCTGCATGAAGACAAGGAAGGCCTTGCAAAGAATTCTGATTCATGGAACCAGAAATTGGACATAAACAAGCACATTGAAGTGCAGGTAGCCCAGGAAACAAGAAATGTATCTATTGGTAAGTTGCTAGATTATTCACACTTTGAGTAATTTAATAGTTTGAGTAATTTAAAATCCATAGTATGCCTACAGGTTCCAGAATTAATAAATACTTAGAGTGCTACTTCTATTCCTTACAGGAAGACCTCCTCATACAGAAAGCAGCAGGAAAGTCATGTGAAGGTGGCCTTATTGATCACAAGCATGCTTCAATGTATTTACAGACTATGAGATTAAATAACAGCTGCTCTCAGATTTAGTATATGATTAAGACTAAATTGTCACATTTAAGGATCTTTATGCTGGAAAAATATTATTTTCTATATGACAACATGTGTTACTAAAGTTTTTCACATTTAGAAAAGATGGTCTGTGAGAAGTGATCATTAATTTTGGAAACTAATAATCTTGTGCATTGATACAGTAGCTGGTATAGTGTAATGATTTTAAGTGTTTGACTCGGACCAGGCAAAATTAAATTTTGATTCCTACTTGATCATGAAGCTCACTGTGTCAATGGGGGCCAGTCATTCTCTCTCATTCTTACCTAATTTACAGGATTATATTTTGAGAATAAAATTAGGAGAGATCCTATGTATGCTGCCTTTAATTCTATTTCATATTCCTTGCTTTTAACAATATTTACCTATTTCTTTTGAAGGATCTAATGAAAATGATGACAAATCTGAAGTTCAGGCAATCATTGAATCCACTCCGGAGCTGGATATGGATAAAGATCTTAGTGGATATAAAGGTTCAAGGTATTTTGCCAGCAATTTTCAGTCACTGGAGAGCTTAGGAAAAAATAGAAATAGTACAAGAGAATTTTGTAGCTCTTTGTGGTCGTTATGGCATATGACCAATCTCTTGATCAATACTTTTCAGTCAGTACTAATGTTCCGGCATTCTGTGACACTCAGATTTTCTATTGATGCTCTGGCTCAAAAATCTTTGATCTACCGTGAAGGGCAAAACAGTATGTGCAGTAGCCATCGCTCAATATCTCCTCATAAGGGTAACATGTCAGATTGTTACGCTGCTTCTCATTTCCACCCGCTTAGCATGGAGGAAGAGACTGCAGGGTGTGGTTGGAGGCTCTAAAGAAATGAAAATGGCTAACCTGTTATGGTGGCAATGTGGATTCAAAACTGTCAGGAAGAAACTAAGTGAATCAGAGGAGCTTGTAACCATGTGAACATCAGTGTTGTGGAGGAGAAAATAGTGCCTTGATTAATGTGCCTGATATTTCTGCATCCTACCAGGAAAAGACAGAGAAAGGAAAGGGGGAAGGGTGATTGCTGAATGTGTCGTTTTGCTTTAGCTTTCTTAAATAGTAAACCATTAATTGTGGCATAGTTTTTTGTGGAGCAGAATTTACATTAGAAAGTTTGCACATTTGTACACTGAGATCTAGACCAGTGAAGTCTTTTTAAAAAGATTTAATTCTTCTCACACCTACCATTCGAATTCTATTGTGTAGCACTCCTACCAAAGGCATAGAGAACAAAGCATTTGATCGTAATACAGAATCGCTCTTTGAAGAACTATCTTCTGCTGGTTCTGGTCTGATTGGGGATGTGGATGAAGGAGCAGATTTGCTGGGTGAGTATTTTTTTAAAACTGTTTAGAAATGGTGAAAGCAATTTACAGAATAGTTCAAGGATAGAGTTCTAAGAAAAAAGTACTCAAGATATTTCCATACATAATTTGCCTAGTGAATAGAGTTGAAAGCATTCACTATTTACCATGGCTCTTTGATGTTCTCATTTGTTTAAATGTTTAACATAAAATCATATTTATGCCTGCACTTATTTATTAAAAAAGGGTTCCCGTTAGCAAGCAATCTTTTGGCCAATCATCTGGGAAACTTACAGCTCAAATAGTGGGTAGTGATGGTGACCATTTTGTTTATTTCATAATGGTGAGATTTTCTTAAATCTGCCATTGCATCATTATGCTTTCGGTTGCTATTAATGTATGTTAGATGAATAACCCTAATATTTTACATTTTTTTCAACCTTGCAATTCAGTCTCCCTCCCACCTCCTCCAGTCTGGTTTTGTTTACGTGGATGTAATCTGGAAAGTAGGCAGAAGAGAAAGGAGGAATTTATTTTAGGAAATCTGTAACTTTTTACCTATAAAAGAACTTCCTAGATGCTTTTTCTATCTAGGAATTAATGGGGAAGGTAATGTTTCCCCCTCTTTTAAAGTTTTAAAAAAAGGAGAGCTTTTGACATTCGTACAGTTACTGCCTTGAAGTGGGCATTGCTGTAAAAATCTGGTTGTTCTCCCACGTTTTGAGTGGGGGTGGCCGAAGCCCCTCTTTTGAGTATTAGAAGTTAATGGGATGTTTGGGGTGTCTGCTGCGTTTGCTATCTTGCTCCTTTTTCTTTTTTGTTCTAGATTGTTTTTTGTAGTTTGTTATTTCTTATTATATTGTTTTATACAGGTAGTCCTCAACTTCCAACCAAAACTGAGCCCCAAATTTATGTTGCTATAAGCAAGACATTTAAGTGAGTTTGGGTCCAATTTATGACCGTTCTTGCCACAGTTGTTAATTGAATCACTGCAGTTGTTAAGTTAGTAGCACAGTTGTTCTGGCTTCCCATTGACGTTGCTTGTCAGAAGGTCGTTAAAGGTGAGCCCATGACCCCAGGACACTGTAAAGGTCATAAATATGAGTCAGTTGCCAAGCGTCTGAATTTTGATCAGGTGACCATGGGGATGGTCACACAGTTATAAGTGTGAAAAATGGTCATAAGTCACTTTTTTCAGTGAGGTTGTAACTTTGAACGGTCACTAAATGAACTGTTGTAAGTCGAGGACTACCTGTATTGCGTGGTGTATTGTCAGATGCCCAATGTATTTGGAGTTGAGTGGCATCGGAGGGAATAAGATAAATAAATGTTTAACATGCCTTAAAATATCAAGAGAAATTTTTTTTTTTTTAAAGTTTTTTATTGTTTTCAGCATAAAAAAAAAACACATCACAAGTACATCACAATTGAAAACCCCCCCCACCCCCCACCCGGACTTCCCAAACCTAATCCCAGGATACTATTCAACTAAAAGTAACCTTATATTAATATCCCTAACTCCACAAGGCATAATTCTACATAAGTAGGTGAAATATATATATATGTAAAAAATTTTTTATCTAAAAACCTAACTTATATTCCACCATTCTATGCTTATTTTGAATATAAACAATCCATCTTCTCCATATTGATAAAAATTGTTCATTTGAGTGATCTTTCAAATAAGCCGAAATCTTTGCCATTTCAGCAAGATGCGAAACCTTCACTCTCCAGTCCTCTATTGTAGGTAAAACTTTACTCTTCCAGTTTTGAGCTATCAGCAAACGGGCAGCAGTTAAACAATACAACATCAAATTCGTTTCTTTTACATCCAGATTATGTGTAATACCTAGGAGAAACAACTGAGGCAAAAAAAAATTCTTCTTTTAAAAACTTGCTGTAAATTCCACCATAATTTTATCCAGAAGGCTTTAATAACCTTGCAAGTCCAC